ATCCAGCTCAACATCTAGGGAGAGAGTGTCAGAGATTGTTGAGCCAAGGTACACAGTATCATGAGCAACCTCTAATGCTTGCGTGGAGATGGTAATAGAGGGAGGTGAGTCCACGCCCTGGCCCATGACTTGTGTTTTCTTCAGGCTGATCGTTAATCCAAAATCTTGGCAGGCCTTGCTAAAATGATTCATGGAGATCTTTGGCAGAATGGGCAACAACAGCTGCATCATCGACAAAGAGAAAGTCCCGCATGCATTTCAGCTGGACTTTGGTCCTCACTCTCAATCTAGAGAGATTAAAGAGCTTTCATTCTGATCTTGTCCAGAGATAGACATCTTCTGTTGCAGTTCCAAAGGCGTGCTTCAGCATGACAGCAAAGATCCCAAAAAGGGTCAGCACCATCAAAAACTCATGAAAGGACCTGATGATGTTAAGGAGACAAGGTGGACATCCAATCTTGGGAAGTAGTTTAAAAAGGCCATCCCTGCTAACCAAATCAAAGGTCTTTGTGAGATCTATGAAGGCCACAAAAAGTAGTTGTTGTTCTTCCCTATATTTCTCCTGCAACTGTCGGAGGGAGAATACCATGTCAGTGGTGGATCTATTAGCTTGAAATCCACACAGTGATTCTGGATAAACTCTGTCTGCAAGCACCTGGAGTCTCTTCAGCACAACATGGGCAAGCAGCTTCCCTACAACGCTGAGGAGAGAGATGCCATGGTAGTTATTGCAGTCACCCCTGTCTCCTTTGTTCTTATACAATGTGACAATGTCTGCATCCTTCATGTCCTGTGGTACTCCACCTTCCCTCCAGCAAAGACAAAAGACTTCATATAGCTCAGTGGTGATGATGTCTTTACAGCACTTCAGCAGGGATGTTATCCTTCACAGGTGTCTTGCCAGGGGTGAGGGAATCCAAGGCTGCTTTTATTTCTGCTAAAGTTGGTTTGCTCTCCAACTCTTCCAAGACAGACGGGCACTCGATGTTATTTAATGCCTCTTCGGTTACTACATTCTCTCTGAAGCAGACTTCAAAGGAGCAGATTTCTTTTGTATTGGACCTAAAGCCTGCTTGATATCATCACACATTCCCATGATGTTACCTGTGTCTGCTGCTATCTGTATCTTAGAGCAGAGTTGAAGCCAATAATCGTTAGAACATCTCCTGGCAGCCTGTTGGACTTTGCTACGAACTTTGCTACTGTCTCCTATATAATGACGAATTCACATAATATATACATTGCCTAAACCTAGCTTCCAACATTTATGCACCCAGGAGCCACCATCTTTTCCAGCCTGTAACACAGGACTTTTCAGTCCTTGAAACGATCCCCTTTGATGCAAATTCAACATTGTTCGTATGTCTGAAGTACAAGACTCAAGAGCGGTAATTAGACTTGAATCAGAGTTCCTGAAGGCTGGACTGGAGCTATTCCTATTGCCACTGGATTTCTGGTGGGAATATTTATTTATTTATTTACAATATTTTAGCCTCACCATTACCAGTGGCTTCTGGGCAGCGTACAACAATATTAAAACTTAAAAACATTAAAATATACAATATAAAATATCCTACATTATAACAATTCTTAAAACATTAATATTAATAAGTCCTGCTGCTCATGTGGCCAGCTAGAGAATACTGTTTAATTAAAATGCTGGCTAAACAGAAAGGTCTTTGCCTGGCGCCGAAAAGTCAGAAGTGTTGGAGCCAGGCGGATCTCTGTAGGGAGGGCATTCCAAAGTTGGGGGGCAACAGCCGAGAAGGCCCTATTTCGACATGCCATCCCCCTCACCTCTTTCAGGGATGGCATCTTCAGAAGGGCCTCCTGGCCTGATCTTAGAGGA